TCACTATGGCCAGAATCTGCAGATCGATCGAGAGGACGCAGAAATGAGGCAGAAGTAACAGAGCACTTGATGCACCGTGAAAGTCGTCCCTCCCGCGCAAGCTTCGACTTCGACATGTGTCGAATCTTGAATGTGTTGTCACCACCACCAGCAACACTATCGTTCATCACGCATTGGAGCGTCAAGAAGCCCGCGTTCAGTGTTGCCGGCGGCAGCTCGTCCAGCGCCACCTTCACGTTGGCCACCAGGTCATCGAGGGTGTGGGCGGCCATTCGCTCTTGTCGCGACTGTAGGGCGTTGAAGACAGCAAGATCCAATACGTTCATATCAGGGCTGTTAGGCGGTTGGAACCGCAAGTGTACATCGCACCCGGAGGCGTTTACTGCCTGCCTCCACGCCACGTCGTCTGGCTGGATATGCGGGGAGGCGTTGTCTTTCTGCACGGTGACACGCCTCCCGTCCGCCGCACCCGGAAACTTTGCTTGGATCGACGGGAGCACGTGCTCCACCAGCATCTTGCGGTAGGTCTCCTTGTTGACGGCCACCGGATATGGCACCAGCGTTCCAGCGGGGCGATTGCGGCTGCTTCGTTTCGCTGGCTCGTGTGTCAAAAACGCCCAGACCCCCAGCTTTCCATCAAAGAACTTGCCCGTGATGGGGTCATGGCGCGGGCGGGCTACCGCTGCTAGCATCATCACCTTGGGAATATGACGCTTGCTCTTGAGTCGATGCACAGGCTTGGGCTCGTCCGGTAGAAGCACGAAGCGACGCTTCACCTTGCAGAGATAGAAGAGTTTTTCATCCACGTGGACTACATCTTCCATGTTACTGAAATGGTGCGTTGCTGCACTTACGTGCCCCACACTAAATGCAATCCTCGACTTCTTGTTGTCGTCCGACAGCATGGGCTTGACAACGGACGTCCCACACGGAGCTTCCCGATGCTCACCTGTCGGAACAGCGTGGTTGGTGGGAGGAAACAGGCTTGGGCGGCTGCACGGATGGTGCTCCGGCGCTGCGGATCGACCACGCGGAGGCGCTCCAGCTCGCGGGAACAGTCGACACGTCTGCGCCCAGTGCTGCGCATTCTTGAGGGCGATGCGTACACCCCGGTGCGCTGAAAGTTGCCCAGGGCCCGGCGCCAGACACGGACGATGGTCTGAGCGCTGACCCCGAAGGTGTCTGCAACAGCAGACAGCGCACCACGCGGTAGGGCGCCGACTGTCGCTCGGTTGAGGAGGGCCGACACCACGAGGGCACGTTCCGCGTCCGAAAGGTGCTTGGTCTTGGGGTGCGAGGTCTTGTTGGGGTGCGACATCGAGTAGCTTGTTGGGTTTGGTAGGTGGGTGCTTGGTCGGGGAGGGGCGAAATCGTTAATGGCAGTGGTGGCTTCTTCATCGATGAAAGCATAATTGGAGCTTAAGCGCTTCCCCTGGCGCCAATTTTTCGAGCTGTGCGGAGCTCTGCACACCAGTCAAACCGCTATGAGCAGGCGGTTGCATTACTACCAATCACACGGGCATACAACTATTTTTAACCAATTGCGAGCCAAACGTGCTCAAACCTACAGTAGATCTGGAACGGACTGGTATATCGGAGCTGCTCGCTATTCTGGACCCCCTATCTCCGGATCGGAGGCTCCGGATTGCCAAAATCGCTGAAAACCACGATACATGTGAGCTTTTCATATAGAGTTACAGTACATCTGGTGCTTCGAGATGGGCTCGGGTACGGGTACCCGAAGTTGGCGGCGGGTTCGGGTGCCCAATGTCAGTTTGAAAAGCAATCGAGCAGACCGGGTGCTGAAATTTGAAGACTAGGATAGCGTAGCAAACACACAAATGTTTATCAAACAACATTTACAGTTTGTTCACCTAAGAGTAGAAAGCGTGCAACCTCAGTATTTCGGCTGCCACTCTGCTAAGTTTTGCTCGGAGTTGAAAAATTAAACGACATCGCTGAAAATAGTGCACATCGCTGCAACAATTTTCTATCGCTCTTTCAACTTCTACTAGTATTTATTTATATTTTGTATTTGAATTTGAATTTGTTGCGGTTTAGACGGCTAACACACCCGATGCCGCGCACTGCTGCAGCTTCGCCTACGGATCACGGGCCTCCAGGGCACGTGTCCGCGGTAGTAGCCCAAACACACTGGTATACACCAACCAAATGCCACTAGGGCATTCGACTGAGATATACCCCTACGATATGCAATTGCTAAAAGAGGAATGCAGCCCCTCCTTTTCGCGCTTCGTCGGTCCGCAGTCCATCACCTCTACGTGTCCCTCCAAGACGTTGTTCACCTTTGTTCCCTCTTGTCCTTCTCTTCCGTCTCGCTCTTCGTCAATCCAGCGGTTACCTCTGCGCCGCGCCCGTCGGAATTCGATCCCGACGCCACGATTGCTTCACAAGGCAGGTGGCCAGCAGCTCCACCCTCTCCTTCTCGCGCTTCGTCGTCACCAATACACCCCGTTTTTCGTTTCTGTTTCGCCTGCCGTCTTGACCAGCCTGTTGTGCCACGAGGTCGACACCGTTCGTCGACCCTGACCACCTTGAAGATGCAATTGCTGTCGTCTTGCTCCGTCCTGGGCTCCCGAGGGGGGATTCCTCCCAAGAAGGCCAAGGACCTGGAGATCCTTGGAGGCGACCCCTGACACTTCTCCGCGACCCGTCAAATTTTGGAACCTGCAGCTTCGCCTACGGGCCCCGGACCTTAAAGTCCAGTACCCGCGGTAGAAGTGTTTTCTAGCAGAAGGAAGATCTTCGACACAAGATACTGGTACACTGTACCATGCAAGTGACATCGCCAAGATTTGTGGTTCATTGTGGAGTTCCCCCTCAGACTGGGCACAGAGCACGCAGCCCAAGAATTCAAGCCTACCATTCAGCCACGAGCCGTAGCAGAGTTAACCCACCCAACTTCCCGTGTTGGGGGTTGCCATACGGCATCTTGCTCATCAAGCAAGAATCCCTTAATGGCTTTAGGCTACACCAAATGAACATACATCTGTATGCTTGATAGAAACCCATTATTCATAATAATCACAGCGCAAAATTTGCGCTTGAAACGAATGGCGGGACCCCGGGGTCCCCCAACTTCGTGATGCGTTTATTTTGGATCATACCCGGTAGTGTACGCACCACCTGCCCGTCAAAAGCATGTAACTAGAGGATTGGGCTGGTAGTGCGCCTGAATATGCAATTTCGTCGAAGCAAACCAAAATTGTTCGGTTAAATGAACAGAAACTTGCCAACATTTGATCCGCATCTGCCGCGCCTGCTTCGCAGCCGCAGCATCTGCGGCGCCAGTGCTATTCACGGCGCGCCCCGGAAGTGATGCAGATGTGCAGAGCGATGTAGTGCAGCGGGTTGTTCTTAAACGACGCGTGGAGCTGCTCCTCCGTGATCTCCTCGCCGAACTCGAGCGCCACGTGCAGGTGCGCCATACGGCCCTCCGCCTTCTCCACGAGACTGGAAGCCGACACCTGGCGGTTGGCCGCGTAACGGTTTACAGATTCATGCTATTTCTTCGCGTATTCTCAATAAATTTTCGCATTGAATGATGTAGACTAGATATTGATCAACCATCAGCACAACCATTCAGCCAACGTTGCCACAAAATTAATTTTTCCGAGTAATCCTAAGAAAAGTTGTATGTAAATTTCCGCATTGAATGATGTATACTAGATATTGATCGACCATCGGCACCCAACGTAGCCACAAAATTAATTTCTCCAAGTAATCCTAAGAAAAGTTGTATGAAAACGCGATGAAAATGATGAGTTATCTGGACTACAGAGCGCTCCTACGACCACCACCTACGAGCGGTGTCCCGGTCCTCAGTTCAGCTTTTTCGGTCGCTGCAGCAGCCAACCCCCCCCCCCCCCCCCCGTGCTCACGGTAAAAAAATTCCGTTGCTGTGGTGCCGAACTAGCTGGACTCACCTCGCCGCAGAACCACCGAACGGACCGATACTCAGACACCCCCCCTCCCCTCCTCTCTATGTCGCCGCGCTACCTACCGTGCCTCGCTTCATCATCATCTCGCCATTGCGCATGCTATCTTAGCCGCATACTGCTGAATGTGTATTAGACTTTAGGATTATTCTATCTTGGTCGCAGCGCGTCAAACATCCTCCGCGCTTTTGTAGATAGATCAAATATTGCTGCACAAACTACTTGCATAGCAACTAGAAAACCGGGTTGCCCGCTATCGGCAAATACCCTCTCCTCCTTCATTCAAACATTTCAGAGCTGGCACCTTCGTACTTAACGTTTACTCTTAAGCTCTGGAAACGAATATCCTACTGAACTAGTTTGCCACTCCACCGAAAAAGCCTCTGCTTTTACGTGAATTTCAAGAAACCATGCGATTTCTGAGATTATTAAATGACTTTACTTGATTTCAGTATACTTTAACTTCATGTGCGCCACATATCAGGTGCATCGAATTAATCCTGGTTGGGCTGTCCATACTTCGTAACCGAAGCACTACCAGGAAAACGCAGTTCTAAGCTTGAATTGACTATAATAGAGCGCTCAAAAGCGCATGGTGTTTGTATTTTCAGTTATCTAAGTACGAGCGTAATGGGGGACCCCGGGGTCCCGCCATTCGTTTCAAATGCACAGTTTATATGGCAGTGCGTCTTATAAGCAAGTTGTCAAGAGATATAGCTGCGCCGAATGAACGCCACACCTTGCTCGTTGTGCCGTCAATGGTTCACCACTCTCAGTCATCGGAACCAGCCGTCGAAGTCGTCCGCCTCCTGGACGTTACTGTACCGGCATTATACTACGAATGTGAAGTTTCATACAGTAGGCTACTAGTAGTATGCAGTTCGTTCGCTCGAAGCAAGCATTCACGCACTCCTTGTCTGCGTGGGGAAAACTTCACAAAAAATCTACGGTACCGTCAGTTTTGAGAACAAGACGAAAGCATCCCACTTTTATCGTTTATATTTTAAAGACCTCAGTTCCCTTGATGACTTCGGAGGGGCTCTAAAACATCGAGTTTAATCCGACGACGATGAGAGCCGTGACTGCAGCGCCATACGTGATCTTCAGAACCTTCCATACGTAGCGCCACTTGCTCGGGTTCTTTGCGACCACCTCTGCAGCATGCTCGGTGGCCTTCACAACCTGCGCCTCGGTCGCGCCCTTGAGCTGACCAGCCTTCTCGGTCTGGGTGAAAGCTGTTCTCCACTCCTTCTTGGACGTGTCCAGAGATTTGAGCTTGCCTCCCGCCTGGAGTTTGGTAATGACATTGTCCCAGTTCTTCGCGACAGCGGACGCCTTAGCAGCTGCAGCATTTGCCTCGCCTCTCACCTTGCCTGCTTTCTGGAAGGCATTAACGCCGTTCAACTTCGGGAGGGTCTTCTGCCACATCATTTCCGCGACCGACTGGATTTTCGCGGCTTTCTTGGCGCTGGCGGCATTGAAACAAGCCACGACAAACGTAGCGACCACAAGCGCCACTAAGAAGCTGAAGCGCATGATGTGGAGGGGCGGCTGAAGTTTTGTGTCGGTTGAGAACTCTTGTTGATGCTTGGACGCTGATTCGAAAGTGGATGACGGACCCGCGTTTGCGAGTTTATGGTCAGGCTTACTCTGCAGACACATCCTGAGGTGTTGCATCTGGATTCCCCATACTCGGCCTGTGCGATCTTGGGCTCTGCTGAGCAGTTTGCTGCCAATCACACCATACAAAAAGGAAGTGTAGGTAAGGTTTGGTTCGAGCAAAGCGTGCAAATCTAATCAGTCAATTTGCTGGCGGCTGGTCGAATGGGAAAAGCATTATACATGTACATGGACATGTACAGTAAGGCCCTTCTTCAGGTGGGGAATGTGTTCTGTGCTACAGTGCGGGCTAGGGCTTTTGGCTAAGGCACGATTTGTGCTTGTGATTTTCAAAACGTGTGCTGGGCTTGTCCAAGTAAATTCCGGAGGACTTTATCTGCTGACCTCCCGTCATTTTTGAATCGCCACCAAGCACATGTACCGAGTCCTCTCGCTAGTGTGTGAGCTAGCTGTAATTATACGACAGGCCCTAGCGTGAGGACACTTGGGCATGCAACAACACCTCGTAGAGTAGCCACTGGATGCACATATAAAGCATTTTGACGTTGCCATCGCCCACGGCAACGCACTGAAAACATGGTTGTCGAGCACTTTGTCGGGCTTCCTGACTCGGACTCTGATTAGCGTTGGAGGAGACAAACCTGCCTTGTCCTTGCCCGTGATTCCTGGCACAAATGTGCTCCCCAGGGAACACCTCGTGTAGGTGTTCTGGAATCGGAGCTCCTAGAACACGAACGAGCAAAAACTGTACGATTCACGCCAAAGCTTTATCCAATCATATCGCTAGAAAATTTCAGCCCAGAACACGTTCTCCACTTGAAAAATGTCACGCTCCGGTGGTCCACACTAAATTAATTCTCAATGACGATTGGCTAACATAATTTTCAGCCAATTATAACGAGCGCCTAAACAGATCTCAGCACCGCGTCGGTACTGTAGCAGCGTGACCCGAGCACTGTGGAAGCACGGCGCTGTAGGCCTTGAGAGCTGAACCGGTATCAATCTCAAGTTTGGCCCATTCAAGCAGATTTTATAGCATGCATTAATTTAAAACCATTATCGTGGGGACTATTCTAAAGTACACCGTCTGCATCAAGCATGTACTGCATCCACGGAAGCAGTTATACAGTCTTTGCGTTTTCCTGATTGATGCAAGTCGGTATTCAAGCTACCGTATTAGGGTTGGTTCTACGTATCTAATGAAGTAAGTTTATGATGAGATAGTTGCGTTCTTTATAAGTAGGATGGTGTTATGAGGTGCGTCCTGTAGAGCATTGTGTATCGATGCGATTGTCTATCCATGCGCGGGTGTCTATTACATAGCCCGAAAACAGTACTCATGTTAAGTTATGCAATGAGGCAACCTTATACACCCCGTTTAACTAGGAATAGTTATCGCTACTGACCCTGATAAATGACGCACACTTGAGGCATAACATGGTGTGCGCAGCGCAAATAACTTCAAGTTGCGGCAAATGGGTGTGTTCAATGGTATGCTACGCGTGGGCGAACCTCGCAACGCCTACATGCACTTGTTTTTAAAAAGTACTAAAGTATTTAGGGTCAGTGAATCAGGGAAGTACTGATAGATTTGCCAATAGCAAATTGCAATGAGGGGAGGGCAAAAGCTTGCAAAGGGCTACTTTATCGTCTGCAGCATAATATTGTCGGCAGCAGTGAAGACGTCTACTAACTACACTGGACGTCAATAATAGGGTGACTGTTGTCATATTGTAGCTACAGGAAATTAGCCGAGTCTCCAAGTAGTATTCCGTTGTAGTTGGCTACTAGGCGGCCACTCAAAACCATTTTGCGCGCTGTGGATTCTAATGATAAGAAGCTTCTAACTACTTGAACTTCTAGAAAGTATATTATTTACAGTAGATGGAGGCTACACATTACGTCTCTTCGCTGGCACATGAACTAAGAGAGACTATTATGGGCTGGACCGAGGATAAAAATGTAAAACGAAAAGCAGCATGAATATGTAGATCCTTTGCGTGACGATGAACCAACGTTTCCCCAGGGTCGCCCATTCATATCAAACGATGTTGCAGAGGCAACTGAAAAACGACAACGGTACCCACTAATAACACAGTCCAGCAATTCATCATATGCAATGCAAAGTGCATCGCCGGTTCCCCGGTAGATTACGTAGCTATATGCCGAGTAGAATGGTGACTAGCGTTTAGTTTAGGCAAGTAACGCAATACACCGCGTCGCCGTTCCCGGCTTCGTCACCCTTCCCCATTAGATCTTTGATCTTCGCAACGATAGATAGCAAGGCACCATAATGAACCCTCACATTACATACATATGAGTCCTACTATAGTGTAACTAGCACACCAAATATTGCAGATTGTAGGCTACCTAGCAGTTATGATAGTGGTGAGGTTCATGTGTGCTGCTTCAATAGAAAACATCTTGCCATCGTCGTCGAGTCTCATTAAATCCAGTATTAGATCCAGTAAACGTTACCGGGAGACATTGATAGCCACTAGCCAGCTTATACACTTTATTTTAGTTAGAACCTGCCATGCCACTAAAACATGGTTCCTTCGAGCAAGGCTCAGTAGTCTTTGGCGAGCCTGTGGCATAGGACGCAGGTGGGCGACATCAGCGAAGGAGTTAATTGCCCCTTCAGACGGCACACCAGACCGATATTTGGGGTCATTTTTATTTTGCTAGGTGTAGCAACAAGATGTTTGGGGCTGTATCGTGGTGGGCGACGCTGCTCCCATTTTTGCTTTCACGATTCGAATACTCAAACGCTGTACTCTGTAGTTTTCGTGCGCATACAGACTTCGTATAAGCATTCAAGTGCATTCATATCTGTGCGTACTGAGTAAATTTGCTTGCTTAGGTAGCCGCGTTGAGCGCCATGTAGAACATGTCAGAACTGATTCGTGTCTGAGCTTTCGAGTAAGTTTAAGTTCGTTCAGTTTTGATGTTTTTATTTGTGCCGTCATGACTGCAGCAGAACAAGCTACTCATTGGCGACCCATGCCCCTCAAGTTGTGGCTCTGAAGTAGCCTTTGGCATATAAAAAATATGCCAAAAAATATCTGTAACATTTCTAAACAAATTTTGAAATCAGTACGATAATAAATTCCTGATTGGAATTTTTTCCCCGCTGAGCGAAGCGAAGCGGGTGGTCTCACGCGCTCGGCTTAACCCTGTTCATAGAGCCCCGCTTGCGGGGCTCCGCTTGACTTGTGTACAGTATCTGCACGTGGTAGCTGGCAACTCCTGACTGACTGCATCCCCCATGATGATGATGATGATGATGATGATGATGATGATGATGATGATGATGATGATGGGCCTATCATCATTTGCATAGCCGTACAGTTGTTGACTTGCAATCTGCGCACATTACAACATATACACGCTCTAGTTTTGGTGGATTGTTATTATAGAATGCCGCCGCACACTCGAGGAAGCCAGCGTTCAGGTCACTCGGCCAGTACATATAGCTTGTCGATCGACCGCTACAACTAAAGTTAACATGCACTCGTCTAGGGCGATGTATCGTAGCTGAGCGTGGCGAAGACGAAGTACGTGGAACCGCGATCCGTGCAGCACCTCTCCTCAAGAGCCCGCTGCTACGAAAACTATGTAAGGGACACTAACACGCCCGACTGGTAGTCGAATCCTCCGTCACCGCCAGCATTCGAAAGGTGCGCGCAAAACGCGGAAGCGGAGGAGCTCAATAGCTCATTGACGGTTTCAATTGCAAGAAACTGGTGTCTACAGTATACAACAGTATCCGCACCTTGAGGCCGGAGCCAACAATTCTCAACCATCGAGAAAGGCTTGCGCCGCGCTCCATCAGTGTCCAGGCGTGCAGGTCGCCGGTCTTGGCCGGTCCAGGTTACGTTGCGCTAACTCCACCGGGGAGGGCGTAATAGGAACTGCGCTTTGTCACGAGTGGAATCGTCTAGGAACGGACAAGCGTGCTTCTACAGGCTACAATGCTACTAGGGCGAGGAGCGGCGGGTCATGGGCCGGGTTGCCGTGAAGCTGAAGACCCGGAAGCTGCTACTGGGAGGTACCTCGGAGGGAAAGAGGGTTTCGTGGCGTCGTGGCTGGATTTCGGGGACGGATGGCATGGTGGGCAGCTTCTAGGGTCGCCCGAGTGAACGGTTCAAGTCATCAGAGAGGGTGAGCGGGAGATGAGCGGCACGGATACGCGGATACGCAAGGATCGCAGGATAAGGATCGAGAGAGGTAGGAGTAGCGAAGAGGTCAGTCGTGATTTAGCTTTGGGAACAACAAGACAGAACGCTTTGCATGTATTACTCTGCTTAGTAGTTGCTGCTCTTGTCCGTCTAATCCTCCTCGCCCGCACAGACACGGCCTCAATACGGCGGCGACCGGTCCCCACCCAAACTGACTCGCGACAGCTTTCGAACATTTCGCTGGGAATGTTGGGATGACAAGGTCGTCACCATGACGAGTGCTAGGAGTGAACTGGGGGCGCAGCGTGCAAATACGTCAGAACCGGTTCGAGCAGTGCTGGTATTCATCTTCGTGTCCACCTTCGGAGCGCTCCTTCCGTCCAGTACCCTTCCTAGGTTGCCCAAGTGCCACGTCGGGACGCGTAGGCTTGATGAGTAAGTCCATTGACCTGGAATGGCTACGTGAGTCCACCTCAAGAGAGTTCCGGACCGTCGCCACGGGGGAGTTGACTTGGCGTTCAGAGCTCTTTGTCGTGGCAGTCACACCCTTGGTTGGCCACACTTGACCAGTCTCAATCCATCGCAACCCAGGACGGGGTGTCGCCACGGCACAGGAGCAAGTTGTACTGTGCGGCTCGGACACGGGTCGCAACAATGTCCCAGACGCTTGAAAGTAAAGATCCAGCTCGAGAAAGTGCGTCGTGACCCAAGAGATCGGAAGACACTTGCAATTTTGCTCCAAACGCAACGAAGCTTCGAAGGCGCAGGTCTCCGATCGATCCAACGCCCAGTGATCCAGTCACGACGACGACCTCGTTGCAACTACGCACCATGGCCAAGGTATACCAGCTCTCCCGTAAGCGCCCGCACATCGTTCTGCCTCCGAACAAGAAACCCACGAAGTCGAGCCGTCCTCCAACGCCGTTCACTACGTTCACAGCGCTCCTCGACGCGGCCAAGTCGTGCGACACAAGCACAGAGTATCCCGCCAAGTGCGACGCAGCTCCGGCGCCAGTCTCTTCCGTGACCAAGCGCCGCCTCCAGAACCGAGAGTCCTGCCGCAAGACGCGACTCAAGCGGAAACTCCAGCAACACGCCCAAGACGTGCTCGCTCGCGAGCGTCAGGCGCGTAACGAGTACCTTACGCAACTCGCAGACAAGCTTGGAGTGGAAACCCGCAGTAAGAGCCAAGAGGACGCCCGAGATACGCTCTTCCGTGAGCTTGCTACGAAAAGCCTGCACTACGCCCTCGTGGACTCCGAATACAGCGGATGGCTTGACGACAGCAGCGATGTGGCAAGCTCAAACGCTCCTGCAACCGCGGAGATGGCCTAAGAAAGCGAGGGAGAAGCCCACTCGTCGACGAGAAAGTCCAAGCGACTTCGCCGCTCACGCGATGTCGACGTTGCCGCTGCATCCCGAAGCGAGCCACTAACTCCATAAGCTTCGTTGCTCAACCAGTGCGTCGACGGACTGCAGAATGTGGTCTTGAAGCTGGATCGGATCGAGGAACGCGACCTTGGAGCTGGTGTCTTCGAGTAGCTGTGTCAGTGGCGATTCGTTGGTGTGAGCTCCGTGAAAGTCCAACGTGATGGCGAGATCGATGCTGTTGCAATGACCAGCACCACACGCGTGCGATTCCATCGACTCCACGTGCAAGATGTGAGCATCAACGTGGTGCGGCGAGAGCGCAACACCCCTTTCGAGTTCGAAGTCGATGGCAACAACAGCAAATGACCACTGATCTGCCGATGCCAGCTTTCTAACGCCAGTTAATCACAGTGCCATACCTCCCCGTTGCGTTCGTAAGTAGAAGTTACTTCCGGAGAACAGAGCTCAGCGTGTATATGTATTCTATTAAATACTTTTAAGTTAAAAAAAAGTAAACGCCAGTGGCACTCGGACGTGCTGTGTAAATTAGAGAAGAGTGCGATGGAAACGAGGATACGTTCTATCGCAGCTTTCTTCGGTTTCTTTTTGATTTCCTGGAAAAAGGCGAGTTGAACGCAGCGACATTGAACCATCTCTCTCTCGGCAAGCGCCATGCATTGATCAGTCACATACTCGCACGCGTGAACCACGAACTTCTTCATATTCTGACGTAAAATTCTACATGCAAATTCAGAGTGAAATAATGGAAACGTATTGTCTTCAAAGAGCAAGCACGCGTAAAATTCTCGCTTTGAATTTGTCGGAGTGAATAACAGTTCATGTACAGTAAAGGACGTGTTGGATACGACTGTTGAATGCTTCAAAGTATCACCATTTTTTTGCAGAAACACTTCCATTTCACCGTTGGTTTTTGATCCACATCCCGTCACGAGTCAAGTAGAGTCGGCTTACAGCACTTTCACACATCGAAAAGCTTTCTGGTGGTCACATTGTAAAATAGCAACGTGTGTGCTTCTCTTAAGATCTCCAAATGCCCCGCCGCATTTTTAAATACTTGTTAAAGTCGGCAAAAACTTCAGGGCGTTTCACCATACATCTAAAATATGTTGCATGTAGCGTGACTTCGAAAAGGTTATTATTTTACCTACAGAGTGCATCAATTATTTACCGTATCAAAATATGCTCCATCCAGCACGTTTTGTACCTCAAGCATGTTTGTGATTTCACAACCCTGAACAAACTGTAAATGCTGTTTCCAAAAGTGTGTTTGCTGCTCTATCAAATTTCATCTCCCAAGTACTAATACGGTTGAGTAATGCATTCATGAATAGCAGGATCTCATAGCATTAAGATGACCGATGAAAACCGTCAAACTCAGGCGGTCGCTCCCTCGAGCCTGCGTGTCTTACTTGACCGCGAGCTTTCGGTTTACTCGTAAGCACCCTTTCTCCGTAAGACTCACACTCGCATCGAAGTTTCCCACCTCCTGGACGTTGGTACCGGTATGATGCCATTCCAGTTCGTAGCTCCACGATGAAACCATCCTCGCACTCCTTTCCCGCGTGGGGAAACTTGGCAGCTCAACTATTGTGCTTTGCAAGAACTTTGGCATGCGATTAAGGACTCTAAATCAACGAGCAAATCCTTCTTGGTGATCATATCTCGCAGCTTAACTCTAAGTTAAAGTTAAGCTAATCAACCGCCAGTCCAAAGCACAACGCAGAGGAAGAATGGAGCGGTTGCCACTGCAAGCGTAGATCGGTTGTCGCTGCTAGAAAAACCAACTGATGAGGTAACCGATAAATTGGCGCCAGCTCCTTGTAGTTAGCACCGATTTCGGCGGGGATTCTTTCTCTAGCTCTCATCGCCGGGACATTGATAGCTAAACCAAGGTTGAATTTCAGAGCACGGCATATAGCAGCCGTAGAAATGTTTGGTAGTGCAGTAAACGCTGGCTCTAAAGCTGCTTGCAGCTCCTCAATTTAAAAACAGGGATGTTCTTCAATACTGTAGACGTAGTTTAGTACGATAGATAGCCAGCGCATGTCAATCGAGATCATGATCGTCTGGAAAACAATCAGACGAAGCGAGCGAGTTAGAATGTCAGAACCGCAGTACTGTCGGATTTACTCCGGCCATTCAACGAAAGTAGGCATAACTCAACGTTGACTCGTTGTCTTAGCAGCAATTCTATCTTAAATCGACGAGTCGGCAGGACCTCAGTGCCCTTAATGACTTTGGGGAATTCTATTCAACCATCGCGTTTAATCCGACGATGATCAGAGCTGTTGAATGAAGAGGCGCGCCGAGCGCGCCCCGCTCGCAGAGTGGCAGCAGGCTTCGTCTGTCTGCCAGTCGAGTTATTTTGCAACTGAAAGCAAACCCTCTCAAACATGTTATTATTGTTTTAGCAAGTACGAGAGAAGTTCAGATCGCCAGCTGTGGTCTGGATAGTGCAGGCAGAGAGCTGCCTGCCAACCATACATAGTGCGATGACGACACGAGGCCGAGGAGTGAGGAGTCGAGGACGCAGTCCGAAGACGAGCTCACTTCCTCTTTTGCCTCCAGGTACCGAGCACGGATCTCGAGTAGTAGGCATAGGAATAGAGGATAACCAAAAGAGTAATACATTGTAGTGAGCTACCTACTCTGTGTAAACTGTTCATTTCAACATTTCAAGTACAATGAGTAAGCCCAGGGTTGACAAGTCGTCGGTCGACTCGCTGAAGTTCAACGGGAAGTCCCTGCACTTCGCTGCGTGGTAGAGCAAGTTGATCATCCACCTCAGGGCGCTGAGTGAGCAACGCGCGCTCGAGGATCTGCCGCCACGCCCGCCCGCGGCGGACAAAGAGGCGACATGGCAGCACGATTTGCACGAGACGCTGCTGAATCAGCAGTCGTCGTACATCAAGCGGCTGCTGTGTGAAACGCTGCCGGGCGGTTTCAAGGGAATCGCGACCAAGCAAATGGACGAGCCGGTTCATGTGATTTGGCGGCTTGTTGAGAAGCAGTACAGCCTCAGCAACGCGGCAGGCGTCGTCGGGCTGGTACAGGAGTTCCTGGAGATGGTGAACGCCGACTTCAAGAGCGTTGGCCAGCTCTTACAAGACCTCAACAACGTGCGCAGCCAGGTAACGTGAACGCGCACGAGGCTCTGCACACGCACATGATCACGTCGAAGATGATGCTGGTCATGGTGCTCGGTGTGCTTCCGAGGCACATGTGGGGCTCCTCCGTCAAGTTCACGGAGGAGAGCTTCACGCTGGAGAAGGTGAGCGAGAAGCTTGCCAACATCTTTGGCAACAAGACCAAGAGCGAAATTATGGCGCTGGTTAGCGGCAGGGTGGTCAACCACGTCAAGTCGACCCCAGCCAAGACGGCTCCAACAAATCCGAAGGGATCCGTTCTGGGCAAGCGAAAGGACGCAGACGGTCCGATCAACGACGTCCACTACAACGTCGGGTACATGAAGTGCCACTACTGCGCAGGCGCGCACAACGATCGGGATGGCATTGGCCCACACAAGATGCTCGACTGCCCCGCGCGTCGCGCAGACAGGGCTGCGGGTGTGTTTCGCCGCAACGTGTGGACGTACCCAAGCCGCAAGGCTCGCAAGGAAGTGCACGAGCCTACACCCAAGATGAAGGGAAATGGAAAGGGTAAGGCCAAGGCCAAGGAGCGTCGTGAAATCCCATTGGCTGAGTGCCTGGCCAAAGTCGTGGCGGTAGACGCGTGCGACGCGCAGCAAGATTCGCTGCCCGCGACCCCGGATGGGTACACAAGCCCGCCCCCAAGCAACTTTCAGCAGCCTGACACGCCGGGAAAGAGCGCTTCGCCGATGAGCGACGAAGACGAGCCAATGGAGAGCGTCGTCAACGCCGTGAAAGCTGACGCTTCGGGTACGGCTCCAGCCGCCGCTAAGCAATCGGACGACGACGTGGACATGGAAGGACAGCCAAGCGAGGGCAGTAATCTAGAGATTGCCGAGGCGACGAAGAGCTTCGCCGGCATGCTGACTGACCTCGAGAAAAAGGTGCGAATTTTGTATCCATTTCTGTTAGACGATGATTCGTATCTAACCACAAATTCTTGGGTACTTGACTCAGGGTGCGGGCACGGACTAACCAGCGAGGCAGCGCGGTTTATGCAGAAGGAGCCCAACAACCAGTACATGTTTACATTCGTACAGGGCTCTAAGCATTCAAATACACATCTTGGCACGATAAAATTGTATTTACATGGTCCACAAGGAATAAGACCTTTTCTGTTCGAAAATATTGCGTTAGTCCCGGACGCTACCTCGATCATTCTGAGCGAGTTCTGGCTCAGGCGCGGTGGGTACCAGATATATGGTTCCCTAACTGGCGAGTACAAATTTGTGTTCTTTGACAATGAATTAGTGTTTGTTGCAAAAGCAATTAACGGGGCATACTATATACAGATTAAAACACTGCAAGAGCGTCAACTGCTGTGCAACGCAGTGAAACAGGAGCCCTGTAAACCACTAGCTCGCCTAGGTACTGAGAGGTTAGAGCGCACACTGCAGGAGTGGCATGTTAAGCTGGGCCACCTTAATATGGGTGCATTAATTGCAATGTTAAGCACAAAAGTGGTGGCTGGAATGCCAAAATTTTCCGCACCAGGTCTAAGAAAGATCCCATTCTTTTGCACAACTTGTGCAGAGATGAAGAAGAGGAAAATGTCCTACCGGAATGCGAAGGGCTCGAGAGAAGAGAACCCAATCAGCACCATTCATATGGACACAAACGGCCCCATGAAGACCATAGGGGTGTATGGCAGCTGCGGGAAAATCAAATACTCAGGACTCCTGAGTATCATTGACGAGAACACGTCGTGGCGCTGGTCCTACGTCCTACGCAGTAAGAAAGAAGTCTTTGAGAAAGTAGAGAAGCTACTTTTGCAGCTTGAACGTGAGGGAAAGTTCACGATTCGTCGGATCCGGTCCGATGGAGGAACTGAGTTTGTGAATGCAGCCTTTAAAAGCTTCTGTAAAGGCAAAGGCATCGTATTCCAGACATCCAACGCCTACAGCCCCGAAGAAAACGGAGCTGCAGAGCGAGACCGCCAGAGCAAACTGGATAGAGTTCGTTGCGCGTTGAAGGACGCAGCTATGGAACACAGGTGGTGGCCAGAGGCGCTCATGTACATGACTTATGTGCAGAATCGCACACCCATGGCACGTTTGGGAAATAAGACACCGTATCAGATGGTGTATGGGGAGCCTCCCAACGTGAGCAAGCTACCTGTGTGGGGATGTGTGTGCTTTGCGCACGTTCCTGCCGCCCAAAGAAAGGACAAAAAGCTGTCTGCTCGCGCCGTAAAGTGCCGGTTTCTCGGAATATCTGAGGAAACGAAGGGTTATAGACTCTGGGACATGTATAACAACAAGCACATCTTATCGCGTGATGTGCTGTTTGATACGACCAATGTAGCCACCATGGTTCAGCGAGCTTTCGGTCAGGCCGAAGAGCCCCTCACAATTGAATCTGCCGCGCGCGAGCCACCCACAGCAGAGGGAAACCAAACACTAGCCACCGAGTCTACGGAGGCAGTGGGAGCTGAAGCACTTACCGACGGGTCCACGGCAGTAGTGGGAGCTGAATCACGAGCACAGGGCAGTGGGAGCTGAAGCAGCTACTGAAAACAGTAACCCAGCAGTGGGAGCTCAAAAGAAACGCCAACGTGTGGGACTCGTCGATACGCCACAGAGGCGTGAATCCCGCCCACGTAGAGAGGCGAAGAAGCCGAAGAGATACGCGGACTATTAGTGCTTCCAGGCGATGCTAGATAAGAACATTGCGCAGGACATACTAGAGCACAAAGCGCCGACACCACGGTCGCTCAAAGCAGCCTTAAGTGGACCTCATAGAGAGCAATGGAAACAAGCTCTGGAACTTGAGTACGACTCCTTGATCGAGAATGGGACGTGGAGACTCGTAAAACTGCCACCCGGACGTAAGGCTTTGCCCTGTCACTGGGTACTAGTAGTAAAGTATAACGCCGACGGGACTGTCGAGCGGTTCAAAGCACGCCTCGTAGAACAGGGCAACCACCAGGAGTTTGGGGTAGACTGGGATGAGGTATACGCACCCGTGGCACGATTTGAGTCGCTGCGCCTAGTGCTGGCGATAGGGACGATATTGGACTGTCATATCCACCAGATGGATGTCCATTCGGCGTTTTTGAACGGCACGATGGAAGGAGAGCAAAAGATCTACATGAGGCAACCTCACGGTTTTGCGAAGCGAGGCCAAGAGCACTTGGTCTGTGAACTTCTGAAGAGCATCTGATCACGAAGTACAAACTGGTCGATAGCTCGCCGGTGATGACACCGCAAGCACCTGGCCTCGTACTCGAGCCAGAGACGAACATGAGCGCAGAGCAGATTGCTGCGCAGCCTTACGACTACAGAGGCATTGTTGGATCACTCCAATATTTGGTCCGTGGCACACGACCGGACATCGCCAACGCGGTTAGAGAATTGAGCAAATTTCGGTCTTGTTACAACCGCACGCACTGGGAAGCGGCTAGGCGAGTACTCAAATACTTGAAAGGGACGTCAACGTACGGTCTGTTTCTCGATGGAAAAACGAGAGACGTGACTTACGAAGTGTACACTGACGCGAGCTTCGCGTGTCAACCTAAAGAACGTAAATCCGTAACAGGGTACGTAATCCAAATGGCCGGAGCCAGTGTGTTATGGTGTAGTAGCAAGCAGGGAGGCGTGTCGCTCTCTACTGCTGAAGCTAAATTCATCGCACTAAGTGAGGGAGCTAAAGAAAGTGAGTGGTTGTGGCACTTGCTGGGAGAAATGGGGTTTCCTCAAAAGGTACCAGTGCAGGTATGGTGTGACAGCAACGCTGCCATCAGCATTGTGAAAAATCCTGGAAATCACAAAGCAAACAAACACATCGAGATCCGCTACCTGTTTACGAGGGACCTGGTTGAACTTGGCCGCCTCAAGTTAGCTTACTGCTCTACAACAGAGATGACTGCGGATATTCTCACTAAAGCTCTCCCCACAAAACAATTCCTGAAACTAAGAAAGAAACTAGGAGTGCGAGATCTGAAACTTTACCCTAGTACTTAGTGGGAGTGTTGAATGAAGAGGCGCGCCGAGCGCGCCCCGCTCGCAGAGTGGCAGCAGGCTTCGTCTGTCTGCCAGTCGAGTTATTTTGCAACTGAAAGCAAACCCTCTCAAACATGTTATTATTGTTTTAGCAAGTACGAGAGAAGTTCAGATCGCCAGCTGTGGTCTGGATAGTGCAGGCAGAGAGCTGCCTGCCAACCATACATAGTGCGATGACGACACGAGGCCGAGGAGTGAGGAGTCGAGGACGCAGTCCGAAGACGAGCTCACTCCCTCTTTTGCCTCCAGGTACCGAGCACGGATCTCGAGTAGTAGGCATAGGAATAGAGGATAACCAAAAGAGTAATACATTGTAGTGAGCTACCTACTCTGTGTAAATTGTTCATTTCAACAAGAGCCCTAAGTAGAGCACCAAACGTGATCTTCAGAGTCTTCCAGACGTAGCGCCACTTGCTCGAGTTCTTCGTCAGCGCCTCTGCAGCCTGCTCGGTGACCTTCACAACCTGCGCCTCGGTCGTTCCCTTGAGCTGACCAGCCTTCTCGGCCTGGGTGAAAGCAGTTATCCACTCCTTCTTGGATGTGTCCAGAGATTTGAGCTTGCCTCCCGCCTGGAGTTTGGTAATGACATCGTCCCAGTTCTTTCTCGCGAGAGCGGACGCCTTACACTCCACGACAAAAAGATATGGACACCACCAAAAGTGGCTGTAACTTCGTCATTTTTTATCGTTTTAAGGTGCGGTTTGGACTAGAGTTGCAGAACACGCTGATAAAGATCTGCACGTTGCTAACACGCGCGCTTTTGCGCTTCTTCAGGTAGCTCACATACAAATCACTGGTTCTGCCCAGGTGACAAAACTTATGGACAGCTAATCCCCATACAAAATCCTATATTAACCAAAACCCCTTACAAATGATACGACTTGGACTTTGTATGGGGCGACAAAGGAACCAGCCTCACGGCGATACTCGCGACGTTAGACAAAGATCTGATGGCATTATCGTGTACTAGAAGGTGTGTTTAGTAACCTGTAATAAATACATCGACCATCGCACAAAACTGAGCAAGTTGTAAGCGACTGGAATTTCGAGTGGTGGCTACCATGTATTATCTGATGATTTGCAAGGCACGTTCAGTTGCATCCTAGTTAGTGCCAATTTGTAGCTCTGTATGCTGCTATCTCTTGGGTATACGATTGTCTTCTCCATTCTAAACTGTTGGTCGATGATATATGGATGAGTATCGTGACGGTGCCGACATACAAGAACTTGACTTGGCCACTGTATGGCGGCCATGGCCCAATCAGATGTCCAATACGTTTTTTCAGCGAATAAGCATCCCGTAGATCCCTATTTAGGCCAATCAACATGGTTAGGGGTAGGTATATTTGCTGCCGACACTATGCCGACGTATAATGTCGGCAACACGGCCGAAATATGTATTCATCCCATAGGAAATCTAAGCAATAAGGATATAATATACATATCTGTTCTGCTGCCGACAAGTTACTTAGCTTTTGTATTGCCTTTGACGAGCTGATTTGAGCCGTTTGCAATAGCGTTTCAACCATTATCACGAACTCAATCGAGTTTCCTGGGCACGCCTATCGACCTACCCATAACATGAACAAGCAGCACTCAGTGAGAGCTGCTCATTCAGGAGTGTCGCTCAGGCGGAGCTTGCTGCATACCGCACGAGCGGAGCACTAGGATCCAATGCAGAATATACAAGAAAACCATTAATTTATTCCATTAATTATCAATAACTTATTCCTACTCAAGAGTACTAGACGCTAGTGGTGGGGTGTGACTGCGGAGCATTCCACCTGCAGCGATACCCCACCAACAGCGCCAGTCCACACAGCAGCAGCAGCACCCCACCAGCGTCGTGTTGTTGGTGCCAACACCAGCACGCAAGCCGCAGCAAGCCACAGCAGCCACGCCCTCCTCCAGCTGCACGCTTCTCTATGCTCGTCGCCTCCCAGCAGGTCGCTGCGCCCTTGCGCTCGTTTCCCTCCGCTCGATGCCCTTACCGCCCTCGCCTTGGCGGCTACCCTCCCCATCGCCCCACCTCCGGTCCGCCGCCTCTTGCCGTTCGCTCTGGTTCTCCTCCTCCTCCTTCCCGCCGTCTATCCTCCACGGCGCGGCCGTCTTGTCCTGCGCCGCCATCCTGGTGTCCACCGCCCTGCTTCAGGTAACCGTCATCGTCGTGCTGCACGCCATCTTCCTAGCCTCCACTCGCCCGCCGTCGTGCAGCCTACCGCCGTCCTCCCAGACACTACCCACATCTTGGCAGGCGGAACTATGCAGCCCCCCTCTTTTCGCCGACGTCCTTCGGCTCGCCGCCCTCCTTGATGACCCACCCGCCGTCCTTGCGGCCTGGCCTGCATCTTGGAATTGACATTTGAGTCAAATGATTTGACCAATAGATTAACCGCTCAACTAAATGCTTATTTCTACCAATCACGACGCTGTCGGCCACTGTCGGCCGCTGTCGGCACCATCATGGTATGGATGAATATAGTAGTTTTTCCGACAGATAGCTTAGTAGGCTTGTACAGAACAGGAAATATATGACGGCCTGACCAATCACACAGTCGCTATTCACTATTTTCATCCAATCAAATCACACAGGGATAGGGTTTTAGTTCCGACAGCTTCTGACAAATATTTGTCGGAAGCGAGACGCAAATATGTATATGCACATAGTGAAATACAGTCAAGTACGTACTTTTCAAATATGCTCATGATTACAACAACTAGGCAGAAACCTATTTTAGGCCCGGAGCTCTAGTCAGTGGAGACACTGGTGGTCCTCCGCACATACACACATAGGCACTTTGAAACGGCAGAAGCGCCAGACAAAGATCAGCATGAGTCTCTCTGCACTCATCCCTGCGAACACGCAATAAGCGCGCACCACAGGGATTGGTGCTTTTGAGCGCATGCTAGAAGCAGAGAATGTGTCTATGAATGTCATTCAAGCCTGTGTGCGTGGTGACAGTTCTGGCAAGAGCCTTGCTGCCATTATGGACCGCTTTGGCTACTACCTCGACACGTATGAAGGTAAGAAAGGTAAGTTGGCGTCTAACACAGCCATTTCATACTTTAGAAACGTTAAGCTTTGGATTTTCGATGAGCATCCTCATCTTCAGGTTCCTACAGAGTTAAACCTGCTAAAGCAAGGCAAGACATTGGAAAAACATTGCTTGAAACGGGCCAATGGGGGATTTACTAACAAAGCTCCGCCTTGCACGAAGGCGGATTTAAGGTCACTAATTCGCTATGTCTACAGCACGGCGTCTGTCGCCACCGACTACGAAGATGCGGCGCTCGCGTGCCTCATGTGGCACTGTTTTGGGCGCTCCTCGGATCTCGGCTATATCAGCAAGCAGCACATCACAGTGTCAGTGGACAACGTTTTCTACGTACGCATGCTTCGTGTGAAAACTGCCGAAGAGCAAAGCCTCACCCTCGTACCTGACCGCGACGACTTCCTCACCTGCCCCCTGTACACGCTGGCCGTTGCTCTGGTGATGCAGGAGGCGCCCTGTGTGTCGCTGCTGAGTCAGCTTCCCGCTCTCGCCACTACCGCTGGAACCTCGCTCGACGCAGGTGCGCCTCTGCTCGAGGTGTTGCGGGTCAGCGTCGCGGATAGCAGCGACACCGCGGCGGCCTTGGAAGCGTCCCTGTCGCCGCCCAGCACCGCTTCCCTGCTCCCCACACCAAGTCCGCCCAACTCCAACCCGTCGCAAGCCACCACCGCCTCCCTGCCAGCTCAGCTCACAGCTTCAAATCCCGCGAGGAGCAGCCTCGGCCGCGGTGAGGACGGAGTCCAAGAGTATGTCAACCGCTTTTTGAAGCGGGTGGCTGAACCCGCCGGTGCCACCAGCAACCTGACCTCGCACTCCTTTCGCCGAGGAGGTGCCCAGCACGCCAACGGAGACGAGCGGCTAGCAGCGCAGTGGATCTTTGACCGCGGGTCATGGGATATGACCCGCACGAACAAAGGCTTTGCCTATGTCTTCAACACCCCCCGCGAAGACCGAAAAGTCGCCCGAGTGCTGAGCGGCTGGAGCGCCGACGAAGCCCCAGTCATTGCGGACGTTGCAGCGCTGGACCATGGGACGCAGGAACGCCTGGCGCGCTTGGAGGAGCTGCTGTTCGGTTCCTGCATTGGACTGGCAGACGCAAAGCTAAACGTAAGTCGCAAGGTTATCGGAGTGCTGACGGCGTACCTGATCAAGTATTTCCCGCAAGTGAAGGCGCTGGCGTCCGACACGCTGTTCGTTGCGCGTATCGAGGAATGCTTGGGAGCGGCTGATATCCCGGTCGCCGACATGCTGTCTTGGTCCATGGCAGTCAATTCGTCTGCTGCTTCGAGTCCTGAACAAGCACACGAAAAGTCAGAAGCAAAGAGCAACTGCTGTCATGCTGGGTGTCACCATTTGGCTGTCATTAGCGAGCTTATCGAGAGCAATCGGCTCATGTCTGCGCGCCTCCTCGCACTGGAGACGATCATCCTAAAGCAAGCGCCGCCTGTGAAGCGTATTGAAGAAGCATCAGAAGAGCAAGAGTCGTCAGAGCAAGCGCCACCCGCAAAGCGAAAAAAGAAAGCTGCTACGAACCTGTCCTCGCTGTGGTTCGAGTGGTACACGAGGCTGCCCCGTGTCTGGGACTCGAGCGACCGCCTGAAGAAGTCCGACTACCGCCTGGGCGTTGCGTACATGAAGCTCTTTCTTGACGGCGGATTCGTGCTGCGCGAGGATGCTGTCGGCTTCAAAGATCTTGTCTTCGAAGTAGGAAAACGCGCGGAAGCAGCGGTCCTTAGGTTCTTGAGCGAGCAGGGATCCCGATCAAAAGGAGCTGGCAGCGTGCTGCGCGAGATACGCAAGCTTCATCGGTCTGGTGCCCTCGACAGTCGCATCGTGGCGTATCAAAGCCACCTCGCCCTGGAAAGGATCGTCGACCCAGCGCCGGCTGCAACCCAAAACATACTACAAGTCGTCGGACACGTGTAAGACACAAAGTTCGGGGCAAATACATATATTCATGAACCAATACAAGACAGTTAGCTTACGAACGCGCAGATCAAGGCCATGACCATCCTGCCAACCATCGCCCAGAGACCGTCGGGCGCTCAGCGCATCGCTCTCCATCCGCTCGTCGCCGCTTGCCCGGACCCAAACACTGCACACCTTGGAAGGCTCCCATCAATCGTGATTGGCGACGGCGGGCTTCGATCCCGCTCCTCAGGGCAAGCCCTGCGCTCATCCATTGAGCTTCGTCGTCGAGGGTGGAGCCTCCGGCTTGGCTTGCGGTCTGGGGGGTTCGGCTTAAAAAGTCTAGACTGAAGCCGCGGGGCCTCTGTCGGCGTTGCCTCCGAGAGCTTGACTGCGTGGCGCTTTTCTATTGGCTTAAATAAAACCTCATTGAGGTTTTTAAACGAGTAGCTCTGGAAGAGAGGGACACTCTTGTGAAGTGTAAATATCACTGTTTAAAGACAATCAACCCAAATAGTGGACCCACCACAGGATCCTGGCTCTCATTAATGAACTTGCCACCTCGAGAGCACATTGCTCCGAGTCGATTTTGCGCCTAGATGCACATTGCCGTTTTTCTCGGCCCACAGGCCTCTAGAGGCGATTTCCTCGCGGCTGTGAGCACCGCATGAAAGCTGACAAGAATCGGTCAAACGGCCCCCTAGTCCTAATTTACCGTACATAATATCTAATTTCCGATTTTTCACTATTTCCATTTGCACTGGCTTTGACCAATTGCCTACTTGTCGGAATATGTAGGGAAGTCGGAACCGTCATGATATGGCTCAGTACTAAGGTAGAGTGGTGAAATCATGGGTTCCTTTGTCGCCCCATACAAAGTCCAAGTCGTATCATTTGTAAGGGGTTTTGGTTAATATATGATTTTGTATGGGGATTAGCTGTCCATAAGTTTATCACCTAGACAGAACCAGTGATTTGTATGTGAGCTACCTGAAGAAGCGCAAAAGCGCGCTTGTTAGCAACGTGCAGATCTGTATCAGCGTGTTCTGCAACTCTAGTCCAAACCGCACCTTAAAACGATAAAAAATGACGAAGTTACAGCTACTTTTGGTGGTGTCCATATCTTTTTGTCGTGGTGTGTAGCAGCTGCAGCCTTTGCCTTGGCCCTGGCCTTGCCTGCGTTCTTAAAGGCGTTGACACTGTTCAGCTTCGGGAGGGTCTTCTGCCACATCGCTTCCGCAAGCGGCAGGATTTGGACGGCTTCCTCGGCGCTGGCGACAGCGAAGCAGGCCACGGCAAACGTAGCGGCCACGAGCGCCAGGAAGAAGCAAAAGCGCATGATGTCGAGGGTTTGTGCTGGTTGAGAACGCTTGTCGATGCTTGGGCGCTGATTCGAAAGTGGACGGACTCGCTTTTGCGAATCCAGTCGGCAGACACATCCTGAGGTGTTGCATGTAGGTTCCCTGGTCCTCCGCCTGTGCGATCTTGGGCTCTGCTGAGCGGTTTGCCGCCACTGACACCATACAAAAAGGAAGTGTAGGTTAAGTTCCGGTTTAAACAAAGCGTGCAGATTGCTCAGAAGGAGTTGACGGCTGTTCGAATGGGAAAGCACAACTGTAAACAGGAAAGAGAGAGTAGTGGTACCGTGCGCAGTACTACTGGTAGAAGTAATATACAGCAAATCTATTACGTTGCAAATTCAGCATCACGTATCTCTTACCTACAGTACCGGTATGTAGTTTCAATCAACTGTGAAGTAAACATGACTTTGTCTAGATACTGTAGCGTTTTTTATTTTTAGGCCACGTACCGAGAATGATGTGCATGCACCTTATCCATATATGGATACCCGTGTGATACCCAACTTTTCTGACCTGTACTACACGTAATAGGGGGTTTCAAAGTAGCGATTTTTTGGACAGATCTTTTGCAAAGGATTTGAAAAAGATCAGACGCCAAAGACGCCGGGTTGGCGGACAGTGCCTTGGTCAGCTGCTAGCTGCTGCTCGGTTCACGAGCGGAGGCTTCAAGCTGTTGCTCCGGTTGCGAGCGTTGGCCTCCAGCTTGGAGGACCAAGAGCAAATCCTTAGGTCATAGCAAAACCGAACAACAACGTCGCGATACGACGCTGCGATGGTCAAAAGATCAGACCCATCCTTTGCATAAGATCTGTCCAAAAAATCGCTACTTTGAAACCCCCTAATGGAGGTAAAAAAGGATATTCAGGATGCGGACCTCAGTTGTATGTAGTTTATTACATATATTCGCGTAAGATGTGACGATTGTTTTAGCAAAATTGTTGCGGAACTGTGGTCTACCTATTGAGGGTTGCTGGTCTTGGGTACTGTGTACCAGTTGTACCCATTAACCGGTTAACCCGAACCGGT